TATCCATGTGTATAAAATCAGGCTAATTTAAAGATGAATTATGTGTGTGTTTGGACCATTTTCTTCTAATGTTAAATGTTCGATGGCTCTTGTCAGATTATGTGGTCCCCAAATTTGTGTGAGCTTCAAAAGAAGTACACTTTAAGAGTATTATTAAATCCTATATCCAGATGAACCATATTAGAATAAAATTAAATCAGTGAAATCCCTAAGGGCTAAACAGGAGTGTGTTTAGGACATAGATTGTGCACGAACTTGGACCTGTTACCTTCCCCCCTCCCCCCTTCACTCTGGGACCTTCTGTAGTTAGGAGCCAGAGAATCCATCCTCTGCTACTGGGTAGGGAGGGGTGGTTACCCTTTCACTCTGACCTTGCATTGCTTACCCATAGTACTTTGCAACTAGGGTTTGCTGGTGTTCAGCTAGAACATTGCTTTTTGGAATGGTGCTTCGCCGGACTTAAGTTGGCAACATTAAGAACCACATTTGAATTTCTTTTCCATTTTTTTAGAAGCAAAATTATAGTAAATATTACCTTTTAATGTTGTAAACCTGTGCTGTTCAACACAGTAGCCACTAGCCACATGTGGCTGTGGAACACTTGAAATGTGACTAGTCTGAATTGAGATGTGCTGTGGGTAGAATTCACACACCAGACTTTGAAGACATAATGGGACTAAAAGAATGTAAAATTTTACATCAATATTGTCTATATTGATTTTATGTTGTAGTGGTACTAGTTTGGAAATATTGGGTTAGATAAAATATCTTATTGAGGTTCTCTTTACTTTTAACAATATGATTATGAGAAAGTTTAAAATTATATAGGCAGCTTGCATTGTATTTCTATCAGGCAGTGCACCTGTACTGTTAAAATCAGAACTGTCCAAACTTCGGTAATGACATCTAGCATTTGTAGGGCACTTATAGAGTCCTAGACTCGTCACATATGTGATCAAGTTTTGAGTCTAAGTTTTGAATAGACTAAAACAAATAAGAATTGATAAACCTCACTTTCCACCCTGTTTCTTACACTACTGTGGACATGTGTGTATGTGTATACTTTTAGAGTTCTTTATGCAGTGCATAACCTTGTTTGATTCTTCTAGCAACTCTATGAAATAAGATACTCTGACCACCTCCATTTAATACATAAGGAAACAGAGACTTAAATAACCAGTTGATATGGTCCCCTACTGATTAATGGCAAGGCTAGGGTCTGATTCCCAGGGGGTCTGAAAGCAGAACCAAATTGAGTCAATCAAATATTTTAGTAAATAGGGAAGAATGACATCACTAAATGTCTCTGTGACCCTGGGAATGTCTCCGTCATTTTCCTCATTAAGGGATTAGATTTAAGATGCTACTGGAGATTGTTTTGAGCTCTTTGGGTATAAGGGAGCCCATTTTGATTCTGTTTTCCCTTTTGATTCTTATACTGGGTCTACCTGGTAAAGTTTGGGTAAAGAGGACAGAGAGAGTCAATTGAATTCTGGGAAAGCAGGAGGGAGGCATATTTAGCAGAGGAGGAAGGAGGGGCAGGAGAAGGAAGAGGATTAACTTCACAATTGATGGAAAATTCTGAATGGGGTTGACAATGATGAGGAAGTGTGAACACATATGGTGATGATTGTATAGAGAAGAACCCAGAATCATGACAGATCTGTCCTTGGTCTCAGGCAAGATCTGCCTTTAATCTTGAAATATGAAGATCATGGAGAGAATCTAGGAATATAATGAAAATGCACAAATGTTTGGAAAAAGACTTTTAAGGAAGGATTCCAGAGAGGCAGGATGGAGTCCGTACAGCCTAATTAGATGAATGGGTTGGAGGCTCTTGAGTTCAAGGCTGGACTTGGCCTCTCACCAGCTGTGTAATATTAAGCAAGTTCTCAGCCTCTGGACTCTTTACTGTCCTTATCTGTAAAATGGGATAATAACTGCTCTTGGCTGTGGTGAGGATTCAGTGATACATAGCAGTAACAGCTGCCTCATTTTGGATGTTTACTATTTGCTAGGCCCTCTTCATGTGTACAGATGTACCACAGCACAGTTGGGTCTCAGCCTGGGCCTGCCAGCTACTAATAAGAATGCAGTGAGTAGGGGCTCTTGTTATGATCTCAGTGGCTTCTTGGAAAGCTCATTTGACTGCATTGTTGTCCTGCTACTGGTTTGTGTTGAAGTTACTTAACTTTTCTGAGTCTCAGGTGACTCATTTGTAAAATAAGATGATTGAATTAGATGATCTGTAAGGCCTTTTCCAGCTCTAAAATGCTGTGAAATTTTGGAAATAGGATTTAGACGGCTACTGGGGGAAACTAAAATAAGAACTTCAAATATATATGTATATGGTTACTACAAGTTTGAGGAATGGTGTCAGCTGTTCTTTTTTGACTGAAGACAGACATGAGGCAATATACTTGAATTGTTTTAGATTAAACATTTGGAAGACTTTTCTGACTTGGGAGAAAAAGTAATGTGTTATCAGAGCAGGCTGTGGAGCTGCACACTCTGAACTCATTAAAACAGAGGATTGACTATTTTTCTGACACTCAACTTAAATGTAACTTCATCACACAGGACTTCTTGAATCCCTGCTCTAAAGTAGATGTCCCCCTCCTGCCACCTTTATTTTTTCAAATTTCACTCTGTTATTTTACTCCATAGCACTATGACAACTCACAATTACATCTTCATTTTGTATTTAGCATTTAATGTCTATTCTTCTTTTTTTTTTTTTTTTCCTTTTGAGATAGAGTCTCAGTCAGTCGCCCTGGGGTTGAGTGCTAAGGCATCATAGCTCACAGCAACCTCAAACTCTTGGGCTCAAGTGATTCTCTTGCTTCAGCACCCCTGAGTAGCTGAGACTTACAGGCTCCTGCCACAACACCCAGTTATTTCTTTCTTTCTTTATTTATTTTATTTTGTTTTTTTTAGAAACAGGATCTCGCTCTTGCTCAGGCTGGTCTCAAACTCCTGAGTGCAGGCAGTTCACCTGCCTCGGCCTCCCAGAGTGCTAGGATTACAGGCGTGAGCCACCAGCTGGCCTTAATGCCTATTCTTTAGACTGTAAACTGCCTAAAGACAGGGCCTGTCTTTATTTGGGTCACTTCCTATATACCAAGTGTCAACACAGCAATTGTCACTAGCAGGTGCTCAGTAAATATTTGTTGAATGAATAGATGGATGGATGTGTTTTAGGGGTAGTTGATTTAATGGTAGGGCTCCTTGGAGGGAGGTGGATCCTTTGCTCTTCTTTTTTTTTTTTTTTGGTAAGAAAAATCCCAAAGACTTTGTCCCTCAAGACACTTTAGATTCTGTCTCTCCTTCCTACCTTCTTTCTCTGGAGCTGGTCCCCCATTGGGTGTACATGTCTTCTGTTTTAATGGAATGCGTGTTTGCCCCTTCCTTGTGGATTGATTAGCCTACTTCTGCTTTTGGGGGAGGGAATGGAAAGGGGAGAGTTCTGTTGGGGTCAGGATGGAGTATGGTGGAGCAGGGCCTGCTGGTGCTGCTTTTTTCATTTGTCCTTCCAGATCCACCCTTTGTTTTGTCCTTCTTTACCCTGAAGCTGACCCTGGTAGACTGCAGCTGACTTGCCCTCTGGTTTCTGGTAAAGGTTGGCCAATGCAGAGGACACAGCAGGGAGATGGAGGATGGGAGGAGAGAGCAGTCTTCCTTCCTTTTGGCTGTCTGTTCCCTTGGTTCCCTGGCCTCTGGACTTTGCGGCTGGGCACCACGCCTCCAACCCAAGGGCTCTGCTGGTACTCTAGACAGGTTCTTGTAAACTCTCTCTTTCCCTCCAGGAATAGCAATGGTAAGGGCTCCCCACCTGCCCCTCTCCTGGGGTGTTTCGCTATTTTTGAGCCCTTAATTCTACTCCCTGCTATAGTCCTTACCCTCAACTCTTAATTCTCCCATAAAAGCAGGCCATTTGTTTCCCCTGACTCTTTTTCTAGGGTACTACTGCATCATAATTCTTGTACTCTCTTACTCTAAATGCATTGGAAGGGACCACACGTCTGAGTATTGCAGTGAGGGGAGGTGTTGGGTATAGGATCAGAGGAGAGGCTGGAGAAATATTTTGTAGTGAATCAGACTAGATCACTGTACTTTAGCTTTCTGTTTTTACTTTAAAAAGTCAACTTTCTGTCAGGTAAGGCATTTTGGATACTTTGAGGAGGGGTCAGCTCCTCTCTCTGGTCTCTCACTGGTAGGGCTTGCTCTGGCTGCCAGTGCTCAACTGGCCTGGAGACCTTAAGCCCTAGGTAGCTGATTAAACTGCTGGTAACTTCAGAAAAATCATCCAGGTACAGGGACCCTGCTGTTGCCGCTCTGCTGCTCTGGGGCCTGGTAGGTGTTTGCTGGGCTCCTCCTTTTCCCTCGGCTTGCAAGGCCTTCACCTCCCTGTGAGCTGAAGAGAGCAGTCTCTCTGAGGCTGAAATAGCCCTTCGTGGAGCTGAACCATTGCTGGCAGCCAGCATGGCCGAGAGGAGGTCACAGAGTTGCCAGACAAGAGTTGGAATAGAGGGAGGGAGAGTGTTTGAGTCCAACGTTGGCATGCTACTAGGGAGTTTCTAAAACACTTTAATGTGAGCCGAGCACATTTCTGCCCCACAAAACCTGTGGGGTTAGGCATTGTCACTCCACTTTGGAGATGCAGAAACAACCTCCAGGTTCCTCAACACCTTGCCTGATGGTACGTGACTGGGGAGGCAAAAACAGGACTGTGATTCAGGCTGTGTGAGCCCCTGTCACCTGGCACTTTTCTACTCTGCCTTAACTTTCTCTGAGAATCAGACAGGGTCTGAATCTGTGTCTGGGATTAGGAAATGGAGGTGGAAAACCTCCACTTGCCCCGGTGTTCCCATTCTACTGGCAGTGGAGAGCACAGGCCATTTCAAGTCCTACCAGGGAGCTCTGGTCCCCACAAACCCTCACTTGAGGACCATCTCGCCTACTTTTAGTGGCCTCACCTACCTTTCTGTCTTTGTTCTTAGAAGTGGAGCTGCCGCTTAAGAAGGATGGCTTCACCTCAGAGAGCACCACGCTGGAGGCCTTGCTCCGTGGTGAAGGGGTAGAGAAGAAGGTGGATGCCAGAGAGGAGGAGAGCATCCAGGAGATACAGGTATTCCTGTGTGTGCGGGGGCATCCCCATCACTGTCGTGTTTCCAGAACTCTGGCGCCAGCTCTGCATCCTCCTCCCCAGGGCCAGGGCTGCATCTCCAAGGGCCTTGTTTCTGTTGATAGGAAGCTCACGAATTCTTTTGTGATTTAACATGTCCCCCAGAAGAAATCATTCTTCCCCACAAATCTTCCTCTCTGTTGATCTCCCTATTTACCATTCAAAATGTGTTTACTGAGCCTGCTGAGCACTAGGTACCGTGTGTGCTGGTTCCTGGGGACACATGGTGAACGAAACAGACTTGAGTCCTCGCCCACATGGAAGGACTGGCCCATTATGCAGGCTAGAAATGTGGGGTGTCTGCTGCAGTGGGGGCCAGTGAGGCCTGGCTCAGCTGCACCTCCCTTTACACAGCCCAGCCCGGCTCTGGTTCACAGACTGCTCCGTCCTTCCCTGGCAGTGCCTGCTCATTCCTCAGCCCGTGCAATTGTCACACTCCCCACAGGGGTTGTTTCTCTGTCCCTAAGTGTCTACTCACCACACAGCGTGATAACATAGGGTGCACCTACCTTTCCTTATTTATTTGTCTTGAATCGCCATCATCTAATACACTGCTTGGCACACAGTATTCTAATAATAATAATTAATATTAACATTAAATAATAGCATCAATAATTCAATAGAATTAAATTATTAAAATGAAATATTTATATTACATATTAAATTTTTATATTTTATGTTATACATATTATATACTCATTAATTTTATATTCAATTTATATTTAACAATTAATTAGTATGTTAATTTATAAGCATTACTAATGATAATACCGTCATATGTTAGCAACCATTTTGCAAGTTCCATCAAGGCAAGGACTCTGCCGTCATGTTCATCACCGTATCCTCAGGGCCTCACATGCACCCAGCACAGGTCTCAATGAGGCATTGAATAAAACAGTGAATCTGGCCTCCTTCTCTGCTATTCCTGTATTAAAAGGAATGGCCAAGGATTTTCTGTTTAGTTGCCACAACATATCTGATATTTTTTCCTTCCTCTGCTTTCCATGAGCTACAGCCCTGGTAAGGATCCTCATTAACCATCACTGTTACTTGTCTAAGAGGCCTCAGCACCAGCTTTGACTCCTGTCTTTCTCTCCCATCCAACATCCGTTCATCATGAATCCTGTGGACTATGCCTGTGACGTAAATCCCACATCTGCTGCTGCCCCGGTCCACGCTGCTCTCACCCCTTTTGCCAACTGCTATGATTGCCTTCTCACTGGTCCCCTTGCTAACACCTAAGAGAGGGTCCCCCTATGTATACAGCTCCCCGTTGTCAACGTGGCTCACTTGAATGGTATGTTTGATATAGTCCAAAGACCTATGGTGACACATCATTACAACCCAAATACTGAAGTTTCTGTTAGGGCTCACTCTTGGTGTTGCATGTTCTCTGGGTTTGTACAGATGTGTGGGGGCATGATACCCATTGTTATGGGCTCATACAGAAGCTTTCGCTGCCCTAAACACCCTCAGTGCTCTGTTGTTCATCTTTCTCCTCTCTAACCTTTGGCCACCACTGATCTTTTTATTGCATTTAAGCTTCCTCTATGTCTTTGCATGGCTTGATAGCTCAGTTTAATGCCAAATATTATTATGTTGTCTGGATATATTTTAGGAGAGGGATCTCTTTAAAATTTAAGTCAGTTCCTGCCAAGGCCCTGTTGTCTCAGAGTGAACGTGAAGGCCCTCTCACCAGCCTGACTTGGTTCCTTCCTCTTCTACCTTGCCCTCTTTCTGCTGTTCTTAGGACATGCCAGGCATACCCCCACTTTCGGGCCTTTGCTCTGGCGTTTCCTCTGCCTAGAACGTCCTTCCCCAGGCACCCTCTAGGCTCTCGCTCTCACTCTCTGTCAAGTGTTTGCTCTCATCTCTTCTCTCAAGGCGCTCCCTGCCACTATCCTTCGTCCCATACCCCGTGCCACACCCGCCCTGCCCTCCCGACTCCCTTACTCGGCTTGGCTTTGCTCGTATCACTGTATCTTGTACTTTGTCATTATGTACTTAGCATGTTATTGTTCATCATCTGTTTTCTTCCAATAGAATGTAGACTCCTTACGGACTCAAGCCTTGTCTGCTTTGCTCACTGATACATTTTAAGCACCCAGGTGTTGTTTGGCACACACTAGGTGTGCAATAAAGATGTGCTGCGTGGATGCCAGTGAGTTGCCCCAGTTCTCCCCCTCGCTGACATGTCCTACTTTGCTGGCTGACCTTTTGTTCTAGCGCTAAAAACTTTTGTTTCCTACTAAATAAATCCAAAATGATAAGCGTGCCCTTCCTGGGCCTCCCCTCTCTGCTCCTAACCTAGTTTTCAGGCTTATTTTCCACTACTCCTTTCCTCCCTCTGTTCTTTGGCCTTCTTCCCTCCGTGCCCCTGGTCATGCTGTGCCCTATATCTGGCATGCCTTTTCTTCCATCTCCACGTGTACACATTCCACTCATCTTTTAGGTGCAGCCCCAGTGCACCTTTCTTGATCCCCCCATGGCCAGAGGGATCTCCTCTCCCCTCTGGCATTTAAGATACCTACTGCTTTCTTCTACACACGAGGGTACACACATGCACTATTGTGTTACCTCCATTTCTGCACTTTCAGATTTTGTGGTCAAGGTCTTTTATCTGTGTATTACCGGCCAGATTCCCCCTGCCCACCCAGTTTGTATAGTTTAATAGAATCAATGAATAGAATGGAGCATTGATACTCGTAGGGATATGTAACACTTTCCCCTTGCAGCTAGAGGTAGGTTCAAGTTCTTCTTTTGCAGCACTGGGCCAGTATACAGGTCATCATTGTCCTTTCATGGCCATGAACATCACCCGCAGTGTAAACTGAATGTCTGCTGGGTGCACAGCCTGGGACTGCTACCTTCTGTGCTGGAAGCCAAAACCAGGACCATGAGTCCAATGAGTTTACCTGTTTTTATTGCTTTACATTATTAAAATGCACACATAGTAAATGGACTATTTTTTTTATTTGTTCATTAATTTATTCACTCATGTGACCAAAGTTCAATAAGGGCCTCCTTCAAGTGGGCACTGTGCTAGGTGCTGGGGACACAGAGACCAAGAGAGACCTGTCCTTTACATGCCTATTTTAATGTGACATGAAGACGGAAAACAATGAAAACTAATAAAATAATTGCATTTTAGGATAAATGCCATAAGAAGCACAATCAGTATTGAGTACAAGAGGAGGGACAGGTTCTAGGTAGTGTTCTGAGGGAGACAAGGGATTTAACCCCAGTCGTATGGGATGAGAGGAGCCAGTAAAGTGAGAATCCCAGAGGAATTATTGTGAGTGTACGTCAGGTCCAAGATAGACCAGAGCTCATCGTGTCAAGAGGACAGATGGAAGGCCCACGTGGCCAGAGGACAGTACCGGAGAGAGAAGAGTCCATGATGGATTTGGATAGGTGAGCAGGCACCAGACCACACCTAGATCCCACAGGAAATGGAAGAGGCTTTTGGTTTTGTGTGTACTGAAAAAGGAAGCCATTTGGAATATTTTGACCAGGACAGTAAATTTATATTTCATAAAGATCTCTCCAGCTGCTGCATGCAGAGGAGATTGGATGCAGGGCTTACAGCAGAAGGAGGGAAGGCAGGAGACTTTTGCAGTATTCCAGGCCAGAGATAATGTCGTCTTTAAAAAGGATTTTTTTTTTTCAAACACAACCACAAACCACTGTTATCATGCCCATAAAGACTGTTTAAGAGTAACAGGGAGAAATGTTATTTTAAAATGTATTTATTTTCCAGATAATGTTCTTGGACAGGGAGTGCAAGTCTGTTAGTGGGGAGGGGGGCAGCAGACACTATAGGTGGGCCCCTCCTGCCCCCCTGCTCCTAATACAGGACTCCCCTCTGCTTCCTGAGCTCTGAAACGAGCTTTGCTTGTTAGCAACTCCCGGCTCCTCCTGAGTTATATTGAGAGGCTTCCTGGGTCAAGGCCATATCACAGGAAATGCAAACACATGGGGGCAGCTGCTGTCACATGTGAGGCCCAGGGCCTAGACAGATATTCTAGGGTCACAGGGAAGCTGACGGGAAGAGGGAGGATAGAGCCTTAGGGAGAAGAGTAGTCAGCTTACTCCTGGACATTAAGGCCATATGGCACTCTGGGGGACGGGCTTACTTGCCTTAATCCAGTCTTTCTTTTCATCCAGAATCCAGATAGCAGAGAATACATAGCCTTATAGTGAAAAATGAGAGTGAAGTCCAAATTGTACTGAAATGTCAGAGGCAATGATCTTTAAATTTGAGGCATTTAGCACTTACTATGATTAAATGACCTCAAGACATGGAAAATTTGCGAGATGGCTATGTGAACGTCAACAAGAGTCGCAGCAACCGTACCTGTATTGTGTCTTTTCACCAAAGGCTGCAGAGCATCTGACTTGTCATTGTCTTACTTGACTTTTGCTAGTGTTACCACCTGTAGGAACCCAAGAAGCTTGCTCTGGACAGAGGTCATGTCCAGCAGAAACAATGCTAATTCTCTGTTAGATGGCAATGCTGTCCTAGAAACACATAAAATAAGTAAGCGCTGTCAGCTGCTTCCCACACAAACCTAGTAGAGAAGCCAGCGAAGGCTCTAATAGACCTGCTTTGAGTTCTTTGGGTGGGTTGGGTGACTAGCGGTATCCTGACTCTTGTGATTGGAGAACACTCTGTCTCTGGCAGTGCCAGAAGATTGCTGGCTGGTAACTTGTTCCCAGGCTTCCTGCTTTGAGGACAGGCAGAGGCATTGACCTGAAGTCCACTTGAATGGAGAAGGTGATATCAGGTGTTGGTGCAGTACATGCTCCCTTCTCAGCCTTTTCATAGTTTTTGTGATTTTTTGAGCCATTATCACAAGGATGGTGATGGTTCTATCTTGTGTAACATGGTACTACTTCCTGCCTACCTTACTATATTCGCCTTAGGTCATTCCTCTCTAAGTGCCTGAGCTTTGGTCACACTGACCACTTTTTGGTCCTTGGATGAGCCATGTTCTTTTCCCTGCTTCACAGGGTTTGCACCATGCTGTTCTCTCTGCTTAGAACATTTCCCTCTCTCCCTCTGTCCCCATTCACCAGGCTAGTCTTTGCTTGTCCTCCAGATCTCAGCTCCTTGAGGTCACATCTTTTGGTAAGCCTTCCCTGACCCTCAGCTTAGGTAAAATTCCTTTCTAATTCCCTCTCGTAGTGTTTAAGTTGTCTGTCACTCTTTTTATGACATGTATAGTTATAAGATTATATATAACCCTGCATATATATATATATATATTTTTTTTTGTTTGTTTGTTTAAATCTATTCTCTTTTCATTAGACTGTAACTGCTAGGATCACAGGCGTGAACCACTGCACTCGGCCCTCCTCCCCTTCTCTAGAGAGAGTGAAGAGTATGCCATGATGCATCTGGGAATCCTTACTCACAAGGGCTGAGCAGTGGGAAACTCTGAGCTGATGGACCTAACCTTACTTTGGTCATGGTTTGACTGTATGTTCTTAAACAGTCAAAACTGCTTTCAGCCTCAGTTTATTTACTTATAAAATGGAAATTGGATTCAGTGTTGTAATGTGACAGAATGAGAATTTGAATTCATGATCTTTAAGCTCTATCACAGGTCCCATGCTAAATGAAAATTGATTTTTCTTAAAAAAGCAACAGTGGATTATTATGACACAATGGATTATTATATTAAATCTGTTCGGAAGAACAGAGAGTTACTTATTTTCATCACACAAGGAAGGGTTCCAGTACGGCAGGGAAAGGAGAAACATATTTTCATATTTCTGAGGTGGTGCTTAAGGAATAAAAGGAAACATTACATGAAAGAAACGAAGTTTTGATAAAACATCTTGGCCCCACATACAAAAGTACAACCAGAGCAATCTCTTGTTAGAGAACTCTTCATGGGCAAACGAGTCAGAAAAGGATGGCATTCTGGGAGGACTTGGCTGGAAGGGGCCAAAGGGCTTGGGAGAGCATTGGTCCCTCCAGGAGCTCAAATTTCTGGGCAGCATTTTGCCGACCCAACTTCCGAACTGACAGCAGCATCTTCACTTTGTTACCAAACAACAACAAAACAAAACACTCCCAAATTGTCCATGGTGGTTTTCTGTTTTGCATTTTATTTCTCACTTCTCTTTATTTTCTTGTCATTTCAGAGGGTTTTGGAAAATGATGAAAATGTAGAAGAAGGGAATGAGGAAGAAGATTTAGAAGAGGATATTCCCAAGCGGAAGAACAGAACAAGAGGACGGGTAAGTTAGGGGCACCGTGAAGGAGGGAAGAGGCCAGGGAGGCTGGGGCCAGCACACTTTTGATCCCCGCTGCAGCCAGATAGAGATCACAGGCATGATCTTACTCTGAGAACACTCAGGAGGAGACCTCTAGGAGGGCTCTGAGTGAGGTCATAGCCTGGAAGAATTTAGAGCTGGCAAGGAGAAGAGGATGCAGAGGGTGCCCTGAGGGGATGGTGAGGTCTGGGGAGGCCTGAGGGCTGGACTCAGGGTGAGGGTGCAGGACAAGGAGAATGTGTCTGTTGTGCCCATTACATAGTCACGAAAGAAGGCCAAACATTGCCTGCCTTATCCCTGGGTTCTTGCCGCAGGAGGACAGAATCAAGACACCTGCTTTTGGGGTGTGCTACAGAAGGCAAGAGAGTAGGAGCATTCTGGGAAAGCATGGGGGCCACATCTAATGGTTCTCCAGTGATTTGGTGTGAGCTTTGGAAGCTTGTGGTCCCAGAATGGGGAAGAGGTCGGAGCCTGGGCAATGGCAGAGGGGAAATCCAGGGTGGGAAGAATAGAAACATGAGAGTGATCCTGGAGGGGAGAGAGCCCAGCCTGGCTAGCACTTCCAGAATCCTCATATTCAAGCCTAAAGGGGCTTTCTGGGTTCATCTTCAGGGTCTGCAAGGGCATGTGACAATAACCAGGTGGAAGGGGACCTCCAGAGGTAAACTGTTACTCTTTACCTAGAGAATTAACTCTCTTAGGTGTGAGGAACTGGCTCCTTTAAGCTCTAGGCAGGACCCTTACCTCTCCCATGCATAAGAGTCCTTGGTGCCCTGTTGGTTGATTACAGCAAGCCTCTGTACTCTGTGGTTCTCATGCCTTAGCACACAGTATCACTAAGAGAGTTTATTGAAATGCAGATATCCAGGACCCAAACCACGAAATTCTGATTTAGGTGGTCCAGGGTAGGACCTTAAACTTTTTTTTTTTTTTTTTTTTTTTTGAGATAAAGTCTTGCTCTGTCACCTGGGCTAGAGTGTGATGGCCTTACCCTACCTCATAGCAACCTGAAACTCCTGGGTTCAAGTGATCCTTCTGCCTCAGCTTCCCAAGTAGCTGGGACTACAGGTGCCTGCCATGACTGACTAATTTTTCTATTTTTAGTAAAGATGGGGTCTCTCTGTTGCTCAGACTGGTCTCAAACTCCTGAGCACAAGCAATCCTCCTGCCTGGGTCTTCCAGAGTGCTAGGATTACAGGCATGAGCCACCACTCCCAGCCATGTATCCAGGCTGGGAGGAAGTTCCCAGGTGGCTGATGCAAGTAGGCCAGTGCTGCCTACACCATGAGCTGAGATGCTTTGGCTTGTTGGCAGGAGCTGGTCAGGGCAGCCATCTGATGGTGTACCCTTATACAGTGGGCACCCGTCCAGCTTTGTCAGCTATCAGTATTTCAAGTCTCCAGTCCCACCTATTCTTTTCTCTTACTTTGTGTTGGTTTATATGTTTGATTTTTTTTTTTTCTGGAGTATTTGAAAGCCCATGCTAGACATTTTATCATTTAACTGGCACCTAGGTCAGTGTGTATCTCTATAACAGATATCACTATCATATCTAGTAAAAATAACACTTATTCTAATATATACTATCCAGTGCCTGATCATTTTTCCCCAGTTTCCCTAGTTTCTCAAAAATTCCTTCTTATAGTCGGTTTGTTTGAAAGTGAAGTCTCGTATTCCGCAGCATGCCTTTCCTTATTACACCTTACCTCACACTTTCTTTTCCTCATGCCGTGTATTTGTTGGAGAGCTTGGGCTGTATTCTGGTGGAATTTCTGACATCTGGATTTGGTGAAGGGGTGGTGTTTAATTTCTTTCTTTATCCTCTCTATTTCCTGAAAACTGGTAGTTTGATTAGAGACTTGATTAGATTCAGGATATTTATGTGTCGTGTGTGTGTGTGTGTGTGCGCAGACATGTGTGTGTTTGTGTATAAATATTCTTGGGGGGGCAAGAGTCTTTCCTAGGTGCTGGTAGGTACGTCTTGCATCACCTCAGGAGGCATATATTTTCCAGTTGTTCTGCTTTGAGCGGTATTAAAATTGACCAGTGGCTGTGAGAGTTGTCAGTCTGATTGCTCTTTTATAATGTTCCTCCTCAGGTTTTCACCAAATGATTTTTGTAGTCATTGATGAACTTGCCTAGACCCATCAAAATAATAACTGATTCCATCATTACAGGAGACTTTCGAGCTTGGAGTTTCTGGGCCTTTTGTGAACTCTAAGAGCTGTATACTTTCAAACCTTCTCCCGTTCCTTCCCTCAACCCAACCAAACTGACTAGCATAGAAAATGGTTCTTTCACACCTTCTCCACTCCTAATCAAAATCTAGAAGATTGAGCTTGTGGTCAGTGAATGTGGATTGGGCATCTTCTCTGCCATCAGCAGTGGCCACTGCAGCCATTTATACTTACTGGAATTTACTATAAACCAGGCATTGTGATGGGCTCTTCATAGTAAGAGCTTCCACACAGAGAACGATGGCTTTGTGCCAGGGACCTTCTCCTACCTCCCTGAGTTCTATCCTGTTCATTTTTACAGCAGCCACTGGCCATATGTGGCCACTGCTTGTCAGTGGCATGTGGCACATCAAATTGAAATGTGCTGTAAATGTAAAATACATACCAGATTTTGAAGACTTAGTATGAAAAAAGGAACATACAACATCTCATTAATTTTTATATTGACTAAATTTTAAAATTGAAAAATTTTTAAATGATAATACTTCAGATATATATTAGGTTATATAAAATATGTTATTAAAATTAATCTCACTTGTCTCTCTTTAAAAATGTAGCTACTGGAAAATTTAAAATGACAAGTGTGTGCCTGGGCGCCCATAGCTCAATGGTTAGGGCCTGAGCCATATGCTCTGGGGCTGGTGGGTTTGATCCTGGCCTGGGCCTGCTAAAGAAACAAACAAACAAAAAAATAGCTGGGCATTATGGCAGGCACCTGTAGTCTCAGCTGCTAGGGAGGCTGAGGCAAGAGAATCATTTGAGGCCAACAATTTGAGGTTGCTGTGAGCTATGACATTATGGCACTCTACCGAGGGTGAGACTCTGTCTAAATAAAAAACAACAACAATAATAAAAGGACAAGTGTGGCTCCCATTGTATTTATGTTGGTCAGAACTTCTTTTTCATTCCCTTATATTGCTATTACTGTCAGAGTGGTAGAGTAACTTGCTCGAGGTCACTCAACCTTTTAATGGTAAGGAAGAGGCCAGGATTTGAACACAGACCTGTGCTTTTCCCATTTGTCATGCCTGGTCCAGTGCCTAGCATGTAGCCAATGACCTACTTGTTGAGTGAACTAGTGAATGATAGAAAAGAGAAAGAAAAGGCACACGTCAGCTTTATGGGAGCTGAGATAAGGCTTGAATACAATGAGGGGCCTAGGCTAGCTCTGGGTCCACCTGACCCTGGCCATGTGGCAGGTGAATGTGGCTCTGTGTTGTAGAAGGACACTGTGAATGTGTTAGCCATGTAGGTGTACATGAGTCTCTCTGTACTTGGAATAAGTGTTTGAAGCTGCTTCACCCATAGCTTCAATTAAGCTGTCTTCCCTCACTTCTAAAGTGGCTACTCGAGCTGCTGCTGGCACTGGAGAACAATGACTCCCAGTGTTTGCTGTTAGAAGTGAGAGGCAGTCGGAGGCCTGGTACCTTCGTGAGTGGTCTCTGGATTGCAGCATTAGTATTACCTAGGTAGGAACTTGCACACAGAAGGCCAGACTCCATCCTAGACTAATTAGGATTAGAGTCTGCACTTTGATGTGGCCCCCAGGTGCTTTGTGTGCTCTCTGAAGAGGGCAGGGATTGGGTAGTGATTACAGGAATAGGCTCTGCCTTATTTGAACTTAGACTCTATGAGTTCAAATCCCAGCTCCATCTGTGACTTTGGCCAAATTGCATAAGTACTTTGGCCTTTAGTTTCTCCATGGGTAAGTTTTGAGTGTTTAATGAAGGCTAGATGTCATTAGGAGGGTGCAAAGCAAAGAGAATAACTCTCGGAATCTGATAATGGGCATTTCCTGAGGGGTGAGAGAAATTCAAATGCAACAACTAATAATTGTGTCTATGAGAACTTTAGCCCAAGAAATAAAAGCTTTTTAAAATTCGTGAAATTCTTGTGAGTCATTCATGTAAGTATTATCAGTTAATCAATCAATCACTCAGTAACAACTTTCTAATGCACTGTGGTATAGTCCAGGGCTTCTCAAACTTTGCAGGCAAAGCACCGAGGGATCTTGTTAAAATACAAATTCTGATGCCACACGCCTTGCTAATAAGCTCCTGGTGATGTGGGGGCTACCCGTCCGAGGACCGCACTTTATTTTTTATTATATTTATTTTTTTTAGGACCACACTTTAAACAGCAACAGTGTTGAGCAGTGGTTTTCAAATTTTTCAGTCTCAGGAAATCTTTACAATCTTAAGAATTATTGAGAAGTCCCCAGATCTATTGTTCTGATTATGACCAGTGATACTCATATCACTAATGATGTTTGCTAAATTAGAAATAAAAAAAAAATACATATTTAAAGTTGAGAATATACAAGCAGCCAACGATAGCATTAGCACATGTCATGTAGCCACTGGAAAACTCTGTTGTTTACTTGTGACAGAATGAGGGTGAAAAAGGCAAATCTTGTGTTAGTAGTATTCTAAACATGGTACGTCCCCTCCCCCAAAGGGTCTCAGGTATCCTCAAGGATGCTTGGGTTACTGTTTGAGAATAACTGATGCTCTCTAGTAGGTGTGGTGGCTCATACTTGCAATCCTGACACTCTGGGACGCCAACATGAGTGGATTGCCTGAGCTCAGGAGTTCAAGGCCAGCCTGAGGAAGAACAAGACCTCATCTCTACTATAAATAGAAAAAGTAGTCAGACATAGTGGCATGTGCCTGCAGTCCCAGCTTAGGCAAGAAGATTGCTGAAGCCCAAGAGTTTGGGGTTGCTGTGAGCTATGACACCATGGCACTCTACCCAGGGTGACAGAATGAGACTCTGTCTCAAAAAAAAAAAAAAGAGAGAGAGAGAAAAGAAAACCAGCTTTCCGCTTGAGTCTGTCCTAGTCAAGGGTCTTTTAGCTTGAGCAAAACTGGAAAGAATGTGAAAAGCTGCTGGGCCACTGCCCCAGATTTGAGCATTCTTTGAAGATCCAAACCACAGGAAGGGTAGGAAAGTGGCAGGGATTTAGGACTAAGAAAGAGTAAGGAGTCAAGGCAGCTTCTGGCCTCTACTTTTCCCTCCTTCATTCTTCTCTCTAAAGACTGATTTCTCAGTGGCTCCATGCACACTCCCGCATAGCTCCTGAATTTATGGGTCCCCAGTTCAAGTGGACTGTACTAACTAGGGTCACTGTTCTCCAATTCCAAGTTCCTTGGAGGTAGAATGTGATTGGCCCAGCTTGGGTCAGGTGACTACTCCTGAGCCAGCCAATCAACTGAGGCTAGTGAGGCAAGGTGGGTGGTACCAAGGCCGTCATGGCCCCTCCTGGCAGGGCATGTGTGGAAGGTGGGGCAGGGTAGAGTGGGATATGTGTGTGGTTCTGGGGGTGAGGGAGAAGGTTGGTTTCTTTTGCTTAGTCAGCATCAAAGTCTTCCATAGCAGAGGCAGGGGACCTAGGGCCTGCTCCTGCTGCTGGCCCTGTGACTGGGGACAGGCCAGAACTTGGTTCACCAAGTGCCAATAGGAGTAATAACAATGC